TTTTTTCTCTAAGCTTTTCCTGTGTCACCAGCATCTTGTCAGACAAAAGGTTCCTAGCCACAGCCAAGAGGGATGCACATCTCCAGAGCAACAGATGGCAGACAGCCCATCATCCCACAATGCCTGTCTACCTCAGAAGATCCCCCTTCCCTATCTCCCCCACAAGAGCCAACTGATGTCCACCAGTCAGCTGGAAGCCGTTTTTGAAAGAAACGACGCCCCTATTCTTTCCTGTTTACTTTATTTATTTATTTATTTATTTATTTATTTATTTATTTATTTATTTATTTATTTATTTATTTTATAATAAGCAAAAGTCTGGAATGTAAGGGGTTTCGTCTGGCACCTTCATACATCATCAGCCGGCGACTGCCTCCCAGCGTCCCAGCCTAAAAGCTGGACGTGCACCCCCATGCCCTCTCTCTGCACGCTCTCTTGGTCTCTGTCTCTCTCTGCCCTATCCCCCCTTCTTTCTCTTTTTTTATCTTTTTTTTTTTTCAGAGCTGAGGACCGAACCCAGGGCCTTGCCTAGCAAGCACTCTACCACTGAGCTAACTCCCCACCCCACTTCTCTCCAATAAAGCCCATTTTAACTCTGGTGACCATGGCTTGTGACTCTTCCACCACAGCAAACTGTCACCACGGTATCCAGCGCCAGTCACCAGCACCACTGCGGTAGCCGATCTAGAGCCGACCAGCGCCGCCTTATACCCTTTCATTGACTCTTCCACCGCCAGCCAAACCACAGCCACTGCAGTAACCGGTGCTAGCTAGCCAAACCATCACCACATACCCTTTCAGTAAGGCACCTTGAATGCTAGGGGTTGTTTTTCCTATAAGATAACAAGCCATGTGTTTTTGCTTCTGTAAACGAGTTTAGTTGCCTCAACTACACAGTATGTGCTTGATCACACATACGTGGGTGGAACGTAGGCAGGAAGTACATCAGGATGCATGCTTGTCCCTGATGGATGAAGGTGGGAAGTATGTAGCCTTATGGGTGTTGCCTTTATAAGTTTCTAACTAACGTATTTCACTGCCATTCTTTGGGAGTCCCAGGGATAAACCTGGCCAGTATTCATTGTCCTGGCCAATATTTGATAAAGCTTGCTTCAAATTTGGCTCAAGAATTGTGGTAGCTTTAACAAGAGGACAGGAATGAGAGACAGTCGTATACCAAACTTGTTCCACACCACACAGGAAGTGGTAACACCTGAGGGCAGTGGAGTGTGATCTTGTAGCCACCATTGCCAGAGCTGGATGTTTGATGGGGTAAGAATGGGCCCTGAAGGGAGAGAGAAAGAGTGGGAGAGGGCTGGACTTTTACAAGTAATAGCAGAATGGAGGAATCACTATCTCAGGCAGGATTGGTCTAGATTTCTGCCCTGAATCTGATTCTGAGTGCTTGTGAACTTGGACCAGTGAGCTTCTCTCTCTAGTCTGTCTGCACTGGGACACAGGTGGCTGCTTTGCTGTTGAGGTGAGAAGAGGAAGAGGCAAGGGTGTGGCCTGTGCAAAGAAGGGGAAGGGTGGGGCTAAGTAAGGCATTGAAAGAAGGGAGAAGCAAGGGCGTGGGTTAAAGTTAATGAGACTAAAATAAGAGAAGTCAAGAGAAGAAATTTGCTGAGGCTGAAGCCCGAGCCTGATCTCTTCTTAGTGTTCACCTGCAGAAAAGAGACCTTCTTGGAGGCTCTGACCTCACAGATCTTCAGCAACACCAACATCATGAGCTGAACTCAGTCTGGGTGCCAGTTGGGTTAGACTCACTGCCTGATCCACATGGGTTCCAATGTCCCCATCTGCCAAGTGCAATTTCAGCACTGCAGAGCCCAGAAAGAGCATTTCTCCCTTGTTTCTCTCAATACCCCATTCTGGCTGCTCCAAGCTTCTTTTCTAGCCCTCCCCCTCTCCAGTGGGAGATGTTCTGTCTCACAGCCCCACACAGGGCTCTTAGCCCAGCTTACCTCTCATTTTGCACTCAGACTTGGTAGGTTTCTTTTTAAAAGTTTTCTTCTCGGGCATCTGGTCACATGAATCTTCATGGTCTGAGATAATCTCTATAGAAACAAGCTGGCTGGAGGACTCCATGTTAGATGTGCTCGGAGAACTGTATAATTTGGTATGATGGGCTGTGGGAATGAGATAGTGGTTGGGTATCTGTCAGGAAGAGGCAGGAGCCCAGGAGAGACACTGAAGTTCATCATGCTAAGCCCCCACACCCTCTTTTACAGACTCAGTGTGGAATGATGTTCTCACAGCCCCACACAGGGCTCTTAGCCCAGCTTACCTCTCATTTTGCACTCAGACTTGGTAGGTTTCTTTTTAAAAGTTTTCTTCTTGGGCATCTGGTCACATGAATCTTCATGGTCTGAGATAATCTCTATAGAAGCAAGCTGGCTGGAGGACTCCATGTTAGATGTACTTGGAGAACTGTGTAATTTGGGATGATGGGCTGTGGGAATGAGATAGTGGTTGGGTATCTGTCAGGAAGAGGCAGGAGCCCAGGAGAGACACTGAAGTTCATCATGCTAAGCCTCCACACCCTCTTTCACAGACTCAGTGTGGAATGATGCTCTCACAGGTGTGGTAGGGATATGGTTCTAATCCGGGGCTATGAAGTTCATCCACTTTCCCTGGTTTTTCCTTCTCTGATCTTTAACTCCTTCATTTGTGGCTATGAGCTTCTACCTTCCAGGGTTGCAAACAATAATTAAGCAATAGCAGCAATCAAAGATACTTGTACTTACTGATCATTTATTGTTTGTTAAACTCTGATGTGGATCATCATTTAGCTCACAGATCCCAAGAGGGCAGGTATTTACTCTGTTTTCCACATGGATAAACAGAGGCAGAAGGCAGTGAGATGACTTACCCAGGGTGGTAATATTATGACTGGAGCCTGTCTTTGTCTAGCTCCCAGGTCACTGGCAACTCACTATGGTACACAAGCACTCCTTTTGGGAGCTGACTTGACCCCTGTGTTTACCCCTCTCAGTGCCCTCTGAATGTCAGCTTCTCCCTGCTGCAGCTTCAGAGTGCTCCTTCCCAGGGCCTCTGAGGACTACATGTAAGTAAATTTGTTGCAACTCTGTGGGTTTGGTCCCAGGTTTTGGCACCAAAATGTGAGTTTTGCAACTCTGGGGAAAGGTATCCTGACTACTCGGGGAGAGAACAGTTCTGACCGCTGGAGCTGCAAAGAGACAGCTCAACCCTGGAAGGGAAGGTTTTTTTTTTTTTTTTTTTTTTTTTTTTTGACTGCTTGGGAGAGTCAGGCCTGGAACTGCTTCAGCAAGGAAGGGTATCCTGACTATTTGGGAAAGTCAGGCTATACCTGGTGTGGTGGGGGAATGGTCTCCCCACAGGATATAGCAATCCTGCTCCTCTCCTGGAGAGCGGCTACTTAAGGGGGCTCTCTAGCAGAGCTCTGCTTCTCTGGCCTAAGATGTTGCTTCTTTTGCTTCACTCTGCAAAGAGGGAAACCCCTGCATAAATGTAGCAATCTCCTCTGGCTCCAGAGAAAAGTGTCACTTTTTTCAGCTCTCTCTTGCTCTGTCCACTGAAAGACATCTCAGCAAGGATCTTCTGTTCAGCTCCACCTTGCTCTGTCCACTGAGGGACATCTCAGCAAGGATCTTCTCTATGCCAGTGAATAAAGATCTTCACAC